GTGTCAGCCTAGCTCACAGCAACCTCATACTCCTGGGCTCAAGTGATCCTCCTGCCTCAGTCTCCCAGGTAGCTGGGACTACAGGCACGCACCACCATGCCCAGCTAATTTTTTCTATTTTTAGTTGTTTGGCTAATTTCTTTCTATTTTTAGTAGAAACGGGGTCTCGCTCTTGCTCAGGCTGGTCTCGAACTGCTGAGCTCAAGCGATCCTCCTGCCTTGGCCCTCCCAGAGTGCTAGGATTACAGGCGTGAGCCACCGCACCTAGCCCCTAGTTCTATTCTTCTTCCTTGTCTATTTCCATTACTGATTCTTTCTTCCCCTGCTGTAACCCTGCTCCTCAATGGTGCATCCCTAGAAATAAACACAGTACTTTCCTCCCATCTTCTCTCCTTTCTGCTCGCTCCCCGGGAAGCTTCTTCAGCATGGTTTCAGTTATTTCAGTACACATAATTCACCAATTAATGGTTCTAGTCAGGCCTTTCACTACAATGTCTATAAGAGAAACAGCAAACATAAAGAGAACAGAATACCAAGGTTCTAGAACAACTGATAATAAGCAGTAATCAGGGTAGCACCATGTACTGGGTCTTTTTGTTTTAAATATGCTACAGATATATCTTTGTATTTACATATCTCTTATAGAGCATGGTTAGCCAATTCATAATCAGTTCACTTTAAGAGACTGAAAGTTTAACCAAGAGCCTGGTACATGTGTTTAATGTGTGCCTCAAAGGGATCTATGCCTGGGAACACCAAAATTAAGAAGCTAGGCTCCATAATGCTATGGTGTATTGTTTACCCAGTCACAGCCATTAAAATTGCCTTTAGCTTCTTTTTTTTTTAAAGTAGAGAGTTTATTTGGGGCAAGTTTGAGGACAGTAACCCAGGAGCATAGATCCAAATTGCACTGAATATACACTACAATTAGTGGAAGTTACAAGTATATTTATTATTTTATTTTATTTTATTTTTTAGACAAGGTCTTGCTCTGTCGCCCAGGCTGGAATACAGTGGCACGATCACAGCTCACTGTAACCTCAAACTCCTGGGCTCAAGTGATTCTCCCTCCTCGGCCTCCTAAAGAGCTGGGATTACAGGTGTGAGCCATCATGCCCAGCCACCTTCAGTTTCTAGGAAGTATAAATGGACCCTTTTGAAAATCTAATGAAAGCCATGGATCATCTCCCTAGAAAATGAACAATTCATAGAGTTTTGCATGTAAACATAGATTGGGGACCTCAGTTAAGAAACTTGCTAAATTTAAAATAATAATAATAAAAAAAGCACATTGCTATAAGTGGCATACTGATCAATGTTGGGTACTAAATTTTATACTCATATTCTCAAGTTGTTCACCAACTCCATACAGCACTCCTTGTATTTCAATGTAAAATCTGTTTTGTAAACCCAATGAAAAAATTGCCAAAGATTTGAATAGACATTTCTCCAAAGAATATATCTAAATAGCCAATAAGCATATGAAAAGATGTTCAATATCATTAGCCATCAGGGAAATGCAAATTAAAACCACAATGAGATACCACTTCACACCCACTACGATAACCATAATAAAAAAGATAGAAAATAACAAGCATTGGTTAGGATGGGGATAAATTGGAATCCTCATATACTGCTGGTGGGAATGTAAAATGGTGCAGCCACTTTGAAAAACAGTCTGATAATTCCTTAAAAGGCTAAACACAGAGTTACCATATGGCCAAACAATTCTCCTTCTAGATATACACTCAAGGAAAAACACGTCCACACAAAAATTTGTATACGAATGTTCATATTAGCATTATTCATAATAGCTCCAGAGTAGATGCAACCCATATGTCCATCAACTGATTAATAAACAAAATGTGGCATATCTATACAATGGAATATTATTCAGCAATAAAAAGGAATGAAGTACATACATGCTAAAACATGTAAACCTCAAAAACATTGTGCTAAGTGAAAAGCCATTCACAAAGGACCACATGTATGACTCCATTTATATGAAATGTCCAAAACAGGCGTATCTAATATACAGAGAGCAGATTGGTGGTTGCCTAGGGCTGGAAGGAGTTTGGGGGTTTTGGGGAAAATGGCTAATGGGTACAGGGTTTCTTTTGAGGGTAATGAAAGCATTTTAATATTGATTGTGTGGTGATGGTTACACAACTCTGTGAATATACTAAAAACCACTGAAGTGCACACTTCAAATGGATGAAGTGTATGGTATGTGAGTTATATGTCCATAAAGCTATTAAGAACCTGTACCTTATAAAAATGTATGTATATAGCCTGAACCATTAAAAAACTTGATAAATTGGACATCAAAATGAAAACATTCTGCTCCTCAAAGACAACATTTACAAAAGAAAAAGCAAGACAGACCAGGAGAAAATATTTGTATATATGCATCTGACAAAGGACTCATATGAAAAAAATACAAAGAATTAATAGTAACAGGATAAATAACCCAATTATGCTGGTTTAAAGTTTAGACAACTAAACAGAACAAGGAAATAGGATTATTGAAAGACTGCTCTCAATCTGAAAAGACTAAAACAAGCTGATCTGAAGAGTACCACTAGAGATACTTGATCTGGATGTGGCAGAATGAGAGATAACATGAGAATATCAGTACAGTGGTCCCCCCTTATCTGAGGTTTTGCTTTCCACAGTTTCAGTTACCCACAATCAACAGTGGTCTGAAAATATTAAATGGAAATTTTCAGAAATAAACAATTCGTAAGTTTTTTTTTTTTTGAGATAGAGTCTCACTCTTTTGCCTGGGCTAGAGTGAGAATTCGTAAGTTTTAAATTGCGTACTCTTCCAAGTAGCATGATGAAATCTCGCACCATCCCACTTCGTCCCACCCAAAACAAAAATCATCCCTTTGTCTATCGTATACTTTATCATATCTTTATCACAGGTATGTGCGTATGGAAAAAAACATACTATATATAGAGTTCAGTACTATCTGCGGCTTCAGGCATCCACTGGGGTCTTGGAACATATCCCCCACAGGAAAAGGAGGACTACTGTAACTGTTAATATAAACAGAATAGCTATTAATGACTAAATAAATTGTAGAGACTTGCAATAATGTGTCAGAAAATGATCATTCACACAAAATGGCTGTTGAAAAGGTGAAAGAAATATATGCAAGAGAAAGTCCGAATGTGTACATGAGTCACACATTTCTAACTCTTCAACTATTGGAGTACTCCATCAACACTAGATTATGTCGGGTCTGTGGGACATGACTTGAATAGGTGGCTATCAAACTGCATGGGAAATTTGAACAATCCTAACACCCATCTCTACCCCAGACTCTTCTGTCAGAAGACCTAGAAAATGAGTAGAAAACATTTTCATCTTAAATGCAAACTTCCATCTACTGACAATTTATTTCCTTGAAAAAAGAAAGGGGAAAAAAAAGGAATGGAAGAAAAATACCCAGAAACCAATGTCACATTAACGTTCACAGTTAAGATGATAAGTGGCATGAATCAAAAGATAGCTTTGTGCTGGTCAACAGGACCCAGCTAAAAGAATGCTGATTTATGAATCTATTTCCCTAAGTAAGATAGAGCAGTTGAGCCAACAGTAGTTGGTCACTGTTTCTCTCCTCTGCGTGTCTTAAGAGGCCATGAACTTAAGAAAGCTAAGCCTTTGCCTTCTGATGTGACTGCCTTAGGTGAACACAGCAGTGCAATTTTGGTTTGGTTATAATGGGCAGAAGTTGGAAGAAACACTATGAAGTTCAGATCTCTGGACACAGATTGCACTCCTCCAGCTGGCACTGGATCCATAAAGACAGGATGACATCCTAAGAACTGACCTCACCCTTCTGGTTCTCTCTGGGATGGGAAAGACAGTAACTCAGGCAACTAAGCATAGTCCAAGAGGAACCACCCACATAGAAATCATCCATTCATCTACTAAACAAACATTGATTGAGAACCTGCTCCACACCAGGCTCTAGCACTAAGTATACAATGATTAATAAAACAGATTCAACAGCCAGGTACAGTGGCACATGCCTGTACTCCCAGCTACTCAGGAGGCTGAGGCAGGAGGATTGCTTGAGCCCAGAAGTTCGAAGCTACAGTGCACCATTATCATCCCTATGAACAGCCACTGCACTCCAGCCTGGGTAACATAATGAGACCCCGTTTCTTAAGGGGAAAAAAAAGAGGCCAGGTGCAGTGGCTCACACCTGTAATCTTAGCACTTTGGGAGGCCAGGACAGAAGGATTGCTTGAGCTCAGGAGTTCGAGACCAGCCTAAGCAAGAGTGAGAACCCATCTCTACTAAAAATAGAAAAATTAGTTGGGTGTTGTGGCACATGCTTGTAGTCCCAGCTACTCGAGAGGGTGAGACAGGAGGGTCCCTTGAGCCCAGGAGTTTGAGGTTGCAGTGAGCTATGATGACACCACTGTATTCTACCCTCTGTCTCAAAAAATAAAAAAAGAATAAAAAATAAAAAGAAAGAAAGAAAAGAAAAAGAAAACATTTCAGCCTCTGTGTTGATGAAATCTAAGTCTTGAGGGAGGAAGACAGACTAAATAAATTGCTGTACAGTATCTAGGTGGTAAATGCTAATAAAAGAGTCAGAATGGGGTCCTAAAGAGGAAGGTCAGACCAATAAGTAGGGCAGGATTGCCCATACCACCAAAGAGAAGCAATGCCATGTGGTGCCAGTAAAGGCTGCTCAAGTCTTCAGATACTGAGTAAAGACCTCCCTGGCAGTGGGGCCTACTCATAACTGGATAATAGAGGGTAAACAAACATATGATATAACCACTAAGAACAGACATATACTAATGTATACACCATAAACAGTCTCTCACTGTCTTTCTCTCTTTCATACACACTAACCCATGCTCATCTATATATGCATAACACACCATCACATTCGTAACCCACACTCCCAGCCTCACACCTCCAAAGGTATATACATACACACCTCACCCGAATATATACACATAGGTCACCATACCAGGCTGGCTGCTGCTCCACTCCTCACTCTCTGGGATACTAGTGGTGGGTTGTCCCTCTGGATCCTTTCCTTCTTCTTGCTTCTCCTGTGGAAGACAAGCCTGATCCCAGCTTCCTGTCCTTATGGGTTAGGGTGAAGCCCTAGCCTCTGATTCTGGCCCCTATCTGGCTCTCTGGCCACGTGGTATTCTACCCCAAAGAGATAGAATTTCCCCTAGGCTACCAGTAGAAACACAGACAACCCGTTGGGCACTTGGGCACAGACTTGGGCACAGACTCATGTGAGTATACACATCCTGATTACACAGCCTGACTACAACTCTCCTTATTATCAGGTAGAGAAACTAAGCACACAAAAGCCTGCTCTGTGCTGATTTTACACGTCCAATAGAATCTTCATGCTTTGTCTCTTCCAGCTAATGCAGCTAAAGCCCTGTGCTCCCTGGCCTCTGGCCTACATACTGGACTCCAGCAGTGGAGTTTTCCACCTGCCTGCATATCAAATTTGGGTTCCAGTTCATGTGACTATGTCTTAACCATGACAGTGGACTAAGATAGGAGCTCCAGAAAATCAGAAGAGTGATTAATTGATTTCCCTCCTACCAGGTATAGGATCTGACTCAAGATGGGACCCCAAAATATGATAAGTGAATCATTATGAATATCTTTTCTGGCCTAGTCCTAGGACCTGGATTGACAGAGGGGAAAGTGGGAATTGAGGCACAGGCTTCAGCTTCCCCCTTCCCTGCCCACTGCCTTCTTCCTACCATGGCTTCTGGCTCAGACTCCTCCTCTGATGGGCTGTGGTATTCCCTGCGCTTCCTCTTCTTCATGGGTTTGAGAAGCTCGGAAGTGCTGCCACGGCCTGAGGAATTCTCCACTATGACTGACCTGAGGGAGGGGCAGCCTTAGGAAAAGAACCTCCTGCCTTGCACCACCCAAGCCCTCTCCTAAGCCCTGAACAGGAATGGGGCTGAAGTCAGAGCAAGTAGGGCTGTGACCTCCTCCCCTTACCGCTCCTGGAAGAGCTGAGGGCAGCCATCATTGGAGGAACCAAGATCTGGACCGGCGCCTTGCTGAGGCCCACAGGCCTGGCACTGACAGGTGCTATCATCCTCGGGGGGATCCTGAGGGGGATCTTCTGGAGGATTCTGAGGGAGGTCCTCTGCGGAGGCCAAATGGGCCTCAGGCCTCCTACCCCATCACAAACACACTCAGGCTCCACCCACGACCCCTCAGGCCCTGCCTCCATCTTGGTCCCATCTCCGCACTGGACATCTTCCCCAATCTTCTCCACCTGAGGATCTACCCCGGGGTGCACCTGTAGAAACCGCCACGGGCCACGCCCCCCCACCAAGGCTCCTCAGAGAGCTCAAGCCTCGCCCCAACTGCGCAGGGTCCCAGCTCAGGGCCCGGGGAGCGGGACTCCTACCGGGCTGTTGGGTGCCCGCATCGCCATCTCCCACCGGAGCCCCGCCATCTTCGTATTGGGTGACGTTTTCCTGCCTCAGCTCCGGGCTCCGGGGCTGTTCCACTCCCATGTTGAGCGGCGTGTACTCGCTTATCCGGAACTGGAGCGCGGAAGAGTCCGAGGATCGCGACTCCTGTGCCGGCCCTTGACCCACCTCGGAGTCGGCACCGTCGCCTTTTCGCCGCTTCATGCCAGCTCACGTCCCTCCAGGACGCCTCAAGACTTGGCCCCTGGGTGCCTCGCTCCAAGCTATAACCCCAGAGCCCCTCACGCCAAGCCACGCCCCCAGGCACCTGCAGGTCCAATCCCAGGTTGCCTCAATCTAAGCCACACCCCCGGGGCACATATGGTCCCAGTCCCAGGGTACCTCACTCCAAGCCACGCCCCTGGGCAGTTGCATGTCCAGTCCCAGGGTGCCTCACTCTAAGCCACGCCCCCAAGTGCCCACGGGTTCCGTCCCAGGGTACCTTATTCCAAGCCATGCCCCCAGGGCCCCTCGGGCCTGGAAGTTGTTTCACCCAAGCTATGCTCCTGAAGTCCTTCACTCAAAGCCCCACCCCAGCTTTGCCCGCTTCTGCCTCAGGTCCAGCCTTGGGCCCGTAGGCCCCGCCCCCCAGCTGTGGCTCGAGAGGCCTAGCCAATCCCCACAGACACTGACCCGAAGGCCGCTCCCAGGGGGCGGGACTGCAGCCTCGGTCCACTCCAGAAGCCGCACTGTGCTGGCGCTGGAGCTGGCCGCCGGCCCGGCACTAAGCTGTGGGAGAACGGTGGCGGTAACTGGTTCGCTGTTGGCCATCTCCTCCGGGGCACCTATGTGGATTGGCTCTCGGGGAAAGCAGGACACATCCAGGGCACTGCTGGGCAGGCCCAGGGTAGCCGAGCTGGCTGTAAACAGATACACAGACACGACAGGGTTGAGCCTAGTGGCCCTGCCTCAATCCTGCCATGCATGTGTGGGCAACTGAAAGAAGGCAGGTGTAGGAAAGTTAAGTATTATCTGCTCTCCAGGATCCACCATAGGGATGCTCCTCCCAGGCTCCTGGCTTGACCTACCTGGAATGATGAAGGCAGTTGCAGGCAGATGAGGACCGGAACCTGGGCTGTCTCTGGCCACCAGGTGCACGCTGACCTCCCCTGTGGAGGGCCCCGTCAGTGTCCTCAGCATCTCCATTTCGGCATGTCCCTCCATCCTGGTAGGCCTACAAGCCAAACACAGACCCTAGGGCGATCGGGAGGGGACCTTTGCTATGAAACCAATGGAGATGGAAAAGGAGGGCGTTTCTCCAAGGAGATGGCCACCTTCAAGCCAGCAATCTGCAGAGAAAGGCCTCAGTCTTGAGGGGAGTAAGGTATCTTAGGAGACCAGCATCAGGCTTGGCTCCTGGTTCCACCCATGTCAGTGGGTGGGCTTTGGCCAGGCTCTACAATTCCCCTAGTCTGTGTAAGGATGGGCATGATGGCATGTGTAAAGGTACTTTGTAAACTGTGACATATAGCACTGACTCTAGAAAGCATCACTCAGGCCAAGGTTCTGTCTGGCCAGTTGTCTTCATGCCATAGCCCAGGACACATCCAAATTCACCTCTTTCTGGACCCCCCACTTCCATTCCCACTAGGGTCATTTCCTTCTCCCTCTGAAGATTCAGAGACCTCAAATACCACCAGGTTTTCCTTCACCCATACAGGGTTCATCTTCCTGGGAGGTGGTATCTTTCCTGATCATATTCCTTTATGGTGCTGTCCTCCCCTCCCTCCAACCCTAAGCACAGAATGGGCACTCAAACATCTGTTGAACAAATGCATGCATCTGAGGAGCAAAGTGGTAGTGTATGAAAGAAAACCTAGTCAGTACATGAGTTTGTTTTAATAAAGCAAAGGCAGTAGAAGCATTTAATAGTTCGTTCAACAGGTAAAGACATGAAAAAAAAAAAAAAAGACCTAGAGATATAACAAACGTACTTAATAGCTACCATTTACTCACCTCCTAAAATATGTTGGCCACTGTCCTAGATGCCTCACCAGCATTGGTTGGTAGAACTGATGGAAATGTCCTACTCCTAAGCTAGCCAACACAGTAGCCACTGGCCATATGTTGCTATTGAGCACTTGAAATGTGCCTAGTGTGACTGTGGAACCTATTTTTTTATTTAATTTAATTTTAAAGAAATCTAAATAGCCACAGTAACTGGGCACAGTGGTGTATGCCTACAGTCCTAGCTACTTGAGAGGCTGAGGCAGGAGGATTGCTTGAGGCCAAGAGTTTGAGGCCAGCATAGGCAACATAGTGAGACCCCATCTCTGATAATAAATAAACAAATGGCTGGCAACAGTGGCCATGACTATTGTATTGGACAGCTCAGCTTTATACATATGATAATTGGCCTATTGGTGCCATCTCCAAAACACATTTGCAAGTCTGACCACTTTCCATCTCCACTGCCACCAAGCTAGTTACAACCACCATCAGCTCTCCTTGGACTTCTGAAATTGCCTTCTAACCCATCTCTCTGCTTCCTCTCCTGTGCCTCTAGAGTCCATTCTCCAGTAAGAGAACGCTTTAAAAACATAAACCAAATCACATAATTTCCCTATCTAAAATTCTTCAATGGCTCTCCATTGCTCTTAGAATAAAAGTGCATCACTCCCCAGAATCTGACCCCTGCCTCTCTCTTTGACCTCATCCTCCTCACTCTTCAAACTCTAGTTTCCTTCTATTGCTTGGCAAACTTTCCCACCTCAGAGCCTTTGCCCCTGCTGTTCCCTCCACCTGGAATGCTCTTCCCCAAGCTCTCCACTTAGCTGGCTCTTTTCCGCCTTCCAGGCTTTGGCTCAATGGTCACCTCCTCGGAAGGGGTCTTTCCTGATCTTGCAATTCTAAAGCGGCACATCCCTCACCCCATCCCACCACTGTCTATCTTATTACTGTGTTTCTTTCACATCCTTCATTATAACCAATAATGATCTTCATTTATTTCTGTTTGTTTGTCATCACCACATAAATGCAAAGACTATCTGTCTTGTTCACTCCTATATCCCCAGCACTTAGAATAGGGCCTAGCACACAGCAGGTGCTCAATAAGTATTTGTGTTGGATTTCAGTAATTTGAACTTGTTAATAAAAAATACTGTATGAGTGATTGATACCGGTTGATTTAAGGTGTTAGAAGTACTTGACAGTGGCTTTTGGCACACAGGTTAAAGGAAAGAACATGGGCCTAGGCTTAAGACAGACTCCAGTTCCAATCTTAGCTCCCCCACTTAGCTTACCCTCTCTGAGCCTTGGTTTCCTCATGTGTAAAATGAAGGTGGTAATGGTATCTTCCTCAAAGGGCTTTGGCAAAGATTGGAAATGGAAAAAATATGTGAAGTCTTGATACCAGCAGGCCCTCAACAAACACCAATCCACTCCCTTTTAAGAGAAATTCTGGGGAGCCTGGTAGCTTCTGGCCAGTAACATTTTACCTGCCTGCTTACAAAATCAGCTTGCAATGGTTACAGTTTATCCTACCCTCCCTCCCTCCTGCTGCTCTTGTGTATTCATTTACTTTCCAGCTTTTCCTCCCCAAAATAGTCTATTCTCTATATTATAGACATTTATAATAATAGAATTATATACTAGACATATAATCAGGCAGGCAAAAGCTAGATATATAACCTGATTAATTAAGGCAACATTCAAAGCAACCAAGACATATTTTCCCATTTTTTAAAATCATAAAACATAACTGCAATTTTGCTAATTCCAATTTTTTGGCTTTTTAAAATTTTTTTATTGCTTAATTATTATGGGCACATAAATACAGTCAATCTTTTTTGGTTTTTTTTTTTTTTTTTAGACAAGGTCTTACTCTATCCCTCAGGCTGGAGTGCTGTAGCATGATCATAGCTCACCACAGCTTTGAACTCCTGGGCTAAAGAGATCCTCCTACCTCAGCCTCCTGAGTAGCTGGCACTATAGACACATGCCATCACATCTGGCTAATTTTTAAAAACATTTTTTTGTAGAGGCAGGGTCTCGCTATGTTGCCCAGGCTGGTCTTGATCTCCTGGCCTCAAGTGATCCTCCTCCCTCAGCCTCCCAAAGTGCTGGGATTACAGGCGTGAGCGAACACATGCACCCAACCAAGAGTTAATCTTTTTATTCAAAACACTGGCAGTCATTAAGAGTGAATGTGGTTACTTATGAAAGAATTCCACTCTATTTCAAAACCCATCGCATGTTTCTTGTCTATCAGGGAAGAGTGGATTAGATGATTACCTTTCTGTTCAGGTTTGCCACCTTTTTTTCAGCAAGGCCAACTAGGTGTCAGCACCGTTCTGTGCTCTGGAGACAGTCACAAACATGACAAAGTGTTCTCACGAAGCTTATATTCTGGAGATAACACATAAGGTTGGGAATGGATTTATAAGTTTGAAAACCAGCATGTGGAGATGGAATTTAAAACCACAGAACTGAATATAAATAAAAAGTGGAAGCCTTATAGCACACTTCTTCTTGGGAAGAAGATCTAGCAGAAGAGACCTAGAAGGAGTTTGCCATAACGTGAGAGGGAACCCAGAAGTCATGGGCTTCTGGAAAACATGGAAGAAAGTTTTCAGCCCTCAGCTGGTCCGCCCAAGCACTCTCTCCTGGAAGCAGCCACTCAGTGGTTAGTTGATATGGGGTATGAAGGCCCCACACCTTGCCTTAATTTGGGACATCTCTGCAGGGGCATCTCAGTTTCAGAGCCTCCCTTGGGTCAGGCTGAGGCCTCTGTTGAGAATACATCAGCAGTTCAACTCCTTCCTCCGCCCAAGCCCTGCCGCCCCTGTCTTTACTCCCCTACAGGTGATATTCCCAAGGGCACCCCGATTAATCTACACTCAGACCTCCCTATCAGAGTCTGTTTCCAGGGAACCCGATCTCAAACAACCATTGTATCCCCAGCCCAGGGGGTGCACATGGCAGATGCTCAATAAACATTTACTGAATGAATGTGTCCACGTGTGTTTTCTGTCTGCTAAAGTTTCCCCTATCCCCTGCCCTCAAAGACCTTGTATACAAAGGCGCCCAATAAATGCTCTTGCTCTAGGTGCTGGGGGTGGGGACCTAGTGCCCTAAACAAATACCCTGAAGCCAACACACACTGAGCCCTAGGGAGATTGAGCGCCACAAACTTGGGGCCTCCGCCCTGCCTCCCGCTGCGGTTGGGACGCAGGAGTGGGTGGAAGCCGCCGAGGGTCCGGACGCGCCACCCGACTCACGGGACTACGACAGACAGCAGCGGG